GACCGAGGCAGACAAGAGAGTAAAAACTCTCAAGGCAGAAATTTCCGAACGATTTAAGAAACATCTTGCCAAAGAGCGAAACAAGGAGCAGTCTTCCGCCTCGGAGAGTGAAGCTCCCAAGGGACCCGTTAAGGCCAAGCCTATGCCTAGGAAACCGAAGGATGCCGCCGCTGCGGCTAGCTCAGATCCAGCATCCGGCCAAGTTGATCCTGACGATGAAGTTGATCTTCAAGCAGCATCTCCCTGGGGCGGCCGCCGACAGGTTGTCAAGACAAGAAGACGCCGTGAAATGAACGCTCAGGCAAAGGATTTGTTCCGCGATGCGGACGCCGCCCAAAAGTTTTTCACTAAGTTTAAAAAGGATACAGAAGAAATTCAATGGTTTCCTCGCCCTGCGGGTCCTCAATGCTGTAAGAATTTTGAAGAATGTGGATGTTCAGAGGCAATGTTCTGGTGCCACCCTTGTGGCTTTGCCTACTGCTTGGAATGCCGCACCTGCGGCTTGTCTTGCAAACATAATATTGTTAATTTTTCCTCAGAGTTGTCCTCCGACTTTATTCCAGACAGCATCGGCTCATCCAACTCACCTTTCGACATCGAAGAACTGGTTGATGCCGTACTGGCTGAGTCGTCGTATTTCGGCGCAACACGTCGAGAGCATGCTCAAAATCGCCAAGACAAATTCTCGGAACTGATCACGCATCTGCGTGAGGGCCGCTCAATTGGAAACACTTACCTTCAATCTTTTGCTCGTCATGGAATTGAAGATTTTGATTATACCGAATACATTTATGAAATGCCATTTGGATGTCGAATTCCGACTCTCCAGGAGCACTTTGTTGATGCCCAGGACCAGACGCCCCTTCCGATCTGGCGACCTGAGGCTTTCTTCAAGTACCCTGATGGCGGTGACCTTAAGTCAGAGGAGATTCTCCGTTTATTGGAACTCTTCAGATCGTGCCTTCTTGGTAAAAGAGCAATCCTTGGTGTTACCAAGCGCACTAAGGAGAACATCCATGAGTTTCAGAAGGACACGTATCAGCTTGGTATTTTGACGTTGAACCTTGGTCACATCAACCGTCTTCCGTATATCGGAGGTTGTGCCAAATTTCCAAAATGGGTACGAACTGATATCAACCACCGTGCATTGCCACATTTAGTGTTCCGTAATGCGGCCCATATTGTGTGCCTGTGCGAGGCGTCCGATGAGTACGGTGGCATTGCCGTCCATCGAGAACTAGCCGATGAGTACGGTATGATTGGAATGGTAGTGCATCCGCACATCCAGTCACAGTCCGTTGCAATTTTTATCCGTGGCTCACATGATACCGGCTCCTTTATTGAACTTTTGTGTCATCACCAAATTGAAACCTCTACCAAAGATGCACCCTTTTGGATTTTGCATGGTGCTATTTTTCGTGTTTGCCATGGCATGAACACGTCAGGAGAATTTGTTGATCCTTCCACTGGCACTCGTGTTCCGAAACCGGACATCGAGAAAAATGCTGAATCTACGGTGTACCAGCACGATCGCCCACTTGCATCCTCACTCGATTTTCTTGATCACTCGATCTGTGAGATCGACGGAGATGACGACCTTGCCGTCTCCGGCGTGGAAGCTTGTGAAGTGAATCTTGGAGCCGACACTCATGACGTCCGACGTCTCATGTTAGCTGAATGCCGCATTGCGGTTTTTCATATCTCCTCATACGCATGGAGTAATGCCTATAAAGAAACGTGCCAGAAATGGCTCCAATTTGTCGCAAGCTGTATCGAACATCAGTGCGACTTTTTGTCCGGTGACGGGAATCTTTTCGCACAGCGAAGCTTTAAGGCAGACGATCACTCCGACTACCGGACATGTATTTTAATTGACATTTTGGAGCGTTTCCTTCAGCAGATTAATCTTCACCGCAGCCCGATAAACCGTATTACGTATAACGTAGTTTCATCGACCACTGCAGCCAATTACATCCGCAGTATGCGTGGAGATGACTCTGATTGTGATTCAATGCTTTTAATTTCTCTTTGTTACGGTAAGCAGATCGCTGTCACGGAAGCACGTGCACAAGAAGAATCAGCCTCTGCCGATGGGTTCGCAGGATCTGCCTTCTCCGACGAAGTTATGCTGAACGATGTTGAACAGCTCAAACATTTGATGGCATACGACCTTGGTCTGGCAGAAAAGGACTGTGCATGGCACTCACCTCTCCTTGCTTACGCCCAGTTGAAGGCATTGAAAAATATGCGCATCCGATCCAAGGAATCTGAAGATAAAAGACGTGAAAAATGGATGCAGCGAACTCAAGGATATCTCGAAAAACGAGAAGAGAGGAGAGATAGTGTTCCGCCGCTGCGGACTGACTCTCACAGAAATGTTGGACGCACTCGAAGTCGATCGGTCAGCAGGACCAGAACATATCGACCCAGAGCTGAAACACCAGCACCGCCTCCGGCACCTGTGCGAGGTCCAGCAGCAAAGGCCAGACCAGTTGAACCTGTGAAATATAAAGCTGCACCGAGATCCTTGAAAGAATCACCAGCTCCGACGTCATCAGGATCTTCCTCTAGTGCTAGGCCGCCTGTAAAGGCTCCTCCAGTTCCGGCTCCCGGACGAACACTAGGTGCACAGCAGCCAAGAACGCCTCCTGATCCACCGGGACCGCCGAAGACTCCACCGCCGTGGAGAGAGAGATCTCAGCAGACTGAGCAGAGGCAAACGACCAGAAAAAGGCCGATCAACGTACCTGAACCTCCGGCGCCTCCATCCCGAATATCGGGTACACAATGGCTTAACCAAGGAACAGCTTCCAGCTCTTCCGTATCTCGTAATTACGATTACAGCTATGATCAGCCGTCGCACTACAGAGTAAATCCCAACACCACTCAAGTAGAATACGTCCCAGGGTACCAGATACCCAGACAGCGTTGGGTCCAGAAATATGACGGATCGTGGCTTGACATGATCCCGCAGACACCGGATCAGTCCATTTTCTTTCATCAGACCGGTGAGCTAAGAAGAAGGAACGAATTGAGCTTTTACGGTTACTATTTCACTATGGGCTTGTAGCCCCAGAAAAATTGCAATGTTCCGCATTTGCGGTCGCTTTCGTCCAATAGAAAATACCGCTTTCCAACAGCGGAGAGTAGCTTCTGTACAGTTTTGTTTTTGTCTTCGGACCGTCTCACAGCAGATCACAGGCTGAGCGCTACCTGTGAAACAGACTTGCATGTTCCGACACGAAGAAAATTTGTGTCTGTTTGTGATTTATTTTTGTTTACGTGTCTTCACAATGCACTCATGCATGTTGACATGTATACTTAATTCATATCTCTCATGCGCACTCCGCATGGCTCAAGACTAGCAGCAATTCCGCGTGTACAAAAAGAGTGTAGTCGCTTCCGCTTGCCACAGGTGTTTACTTAGGTTTCCAGGGCTCCCCTAATAGAGGGAAAAGCTACCTCACCCCCCCCGTGGGGGCTCCCCAAGCTAGGGAATTTTCACTTTTCCCCCCCGTGGGGGCTTCCCAAGCTAGGGAATTTTCACTTTCCCCCCCGTGGGGGCTCCCCAAGCTAGGGAATTTTCACTTTTCCCCCCCGTGGGGGCTCCCCAAGCTAGGGAATTTTCACTTTTCCCCCCCGTGGGGGCTCCCCAAGCTAGGGAATTTTCACTTTTCCCCCCCGTGGGGGCTCCCCAAGCTAGGGAATTTTCACTTTTGGGGGCTCCCAAGCTAGGGAATTTTCAGCTCCCCAAGGGAATTTTCACTTTTCCCCCCCGTGGGGGCTCCCCAAGCTAGGGAATTTTCACTTTTCCCCCCCGTGGGGGCTCCCCAAGCTAGGGAATTTTCACTTTTCCCCCCCCCGGGGGCTCCCCAAGCTAGGGAAAGCTAGGGAATTTTCACTTTTCCCCCCCGTGGGGGCTCCCCAAGCTAGGGAATTTTCACTTTTCCCCCCCGTTTCACTTTCACCCCCCCCGTGGGGGTTCCCCAAGCTAGGGAATTTTCACTTTTCCCCCCGTGGGGGCTTCCCAAGCTAGGGAATTTTCACTTTTCCCCGCCGTGACAGCTTCCCAAGCTATGGAATTTTCACTTTTCCCTCCCTTGGAGGCTCTCCAAGCTGCGGAATTTCAAATAGCTAGACAACGACGCCTAGATAGTCCCCCAAATCCCGTGTTCTTTGAATGTGTTTCCATGTTTTTGCAATGGTTTCCTTCAAAGCACGGTACTTTACACTTTTGTCGCCATAAAACCGGTCGAAAACATCATGTTCGACAATGCTTCCAATTCCCTTATCTCCCCAACCGTTGAAAATACCGCTATTTACAGTGTTTTCTTCAATTTTTCCATGTTCCAATGCCGGTAGCCAACTCCAACATATATATAAGAAATCCTTCCAAAACATTGTTTTTGACAGTGTTTTTCCAATGTTTCCAGTCAAACAGACGGTAATTTACACGTTTTTTGCCATAAAGGCAGTAAATCCTTCCAAAACATTGCTTTTGACAGTGTTTTTGTAATGTTTCCAGTCAAACATACGGTAATTTACACGTTTTTTGCTATAACGTCAGTCCAAAACACTTGTTTTTGCAGTGTTTTCAATGCTCTGGCATCCAAAAACCCTGCAAAATCTTGCTATGTACAATGTTTTTTTCATTTTTGGCCGTTTTTCCATTGCCGGAAAGCTACCAAAATGACCCAAAATTCCATTTCAATACCCTCTTGCGCTCAGACACCCAAAAATCATCGAAAAATGTCGAAAACACCACCGTATTCTGGTCTCGGTGCGAAACCGTTTTTGGCCCCCCCCCAGCTAAAGCTGATATAGCGACTGCTATATTAACAAATGTCATTGAGCATTTAGTGTTGCTGTTTTGCCCCCCAATAAGCACGCCTTCACCGCCAAAGCGGTGTGGGCGGATTTGGTTTTCCTTTTTTTGGTTTGGTATTTCTTGCCGTATTTTGCAGATCGGAGCTTTTGGTCACCTGGTCCAAGAATCGAAGGTGTGAAGAGCAGCTCCGGAGATGCAAAGCTCGCTGGGACCGATGGGGAAGCGGTTTGGGGTGGGTTGCCCGGAATATGAGGGACCAAAGATGGCCAAACACCCGCTGCGCCCGAAATCACGGAATTCGTTGCATGTCTGGAGCCTTGTGAAGGACATGTTGGTGCTGGGAGGTGTTCGACATGGATTCACAAATCCTGCGCAGGCTTAGCTGGGCGCCCCTTTGTGCGCAGTTGTCTTGCCAATGTATCCAATGTCTTCTTGGGATTGATTCCTTTGCTTTGGTTTTCCTATCAATGATGAACGCCAAACAGTTGAATCCGAAGTGATTGAACAGCATCGCACAGCATTTCTATGTGGTATGTCCCAAGATTTTGTTGCTCTAAGCTCTAGGGTCATGGATGCACAAGACCATCGTGCATCTCCCCCTGATCATGCATATATCGTGCATTTAACATATGGATGTGTCTGAAAATAGGGTGGCCTATACTGTCCACACACACTCCAAAATGATTATACTATAAGTCCTATAAGTTATATTATGCTAACAAGAACAAATATCGGAAACTTAATAAAGTGATATTAATACGATTAAGTTTATTTTAGTTTGTTTTTCATGGGTTTTCCATAGGTCCGTGTTTTTCCTCGAAGTTTTCCATGGTGGGGCGCGCTGGGATGCAACGATCACCGCCAGGCCTTGAATCCGAACCCGGCCTTTGGATATTCCGCCAGGGCGGCCTCGGTCTCGTGGAAGGCGGCAGAGGAGCCAAGTCTTGGACCTCCCAGATTTTTTTGCATCAATTTATGAGAATTTCTGTATATCTAGATCTAGATATAATAATTAAAATTAATGATTACCCATTGTATTGTATTATGTACGTCGATGTGCATGTATATGTATTATATATAATATATATATATATATATAATATATAATATATATAATATATATAATATATATAATATATATAATATATATAATATATATAATATATATAATATATATAATATACGTATATATATATATATATAATCACCACCCCTTTAAGGCTACTTTTCAGGGGGGACGTTACAAAAATGTAAGATACTTTTTCTGGGACCCCCCTTAAATGTAAAATTGGTCGCTGAACACCCCTAGGTATCGTTTTTGTGGGGAGTGTCTTCAAAATACCTTCAAAATGATGTAAGCCTACATTTTCAATTCGCCCCTCAAAAACACTTTGAAACATGTAGCTTACATTTTGGGTACATCCCACCCCTTAAAACGGTGGTGATTATATATATAATATACTGTATTTGCATATATCTTTTTATATAACCACACATATCATATATCCATCGCTGTGACATGCAAAAAGTGCCCAGAGGATCTCCTCGCAGAGTCACTGAGATGAGCGACTGGCGGTTGCAGCGGAAAAGAGTGCCATTCATATGGATCTGCCAGTGCTCATGTCGAAGTATCCCAAACATGATCAATCATGTACACTTGCAGGAATGGGATTCTCATGAATATCTATCCATGTCAGTAATTTTTTGGCTGTTATCAATACTGATTCCACTATGTCAATCTTAACTAGCAGTCTAGCATGATCGTCGGTGATCTTTGGCTTGCTGCAGCTTTGGCCCGACAGCTTTGACAGGCGCCCGCAGGGGCGTCAAACGAAACTAGCGAGGTAGGAGAAGGTGCCTATTGGACGCTGTGGTGAGCTGTGGTCATGTCGGTCAATTGGGTATGGTGGGTACTCTTCAGATGTTGGAGCAGCTTTCTTGTTTTTTTCCCTTCGGGGGAAGAACCCCTCTAATTTTGAGGCACCATGCTTTGAGCCAGACCCACTTATTGATGGCATCCGTAGCCATCACCTGCTTTGCAGGCCATGAGTGGAACAAATTCAGCGACGAAACTTCCAGCCCTTCTGACACCTGCTGTGCCTCATTTGATTTGGAACTACTGCCGGCAAGCTAGTGGGGTCTCGCATACAACTGAGGTGAGCATTGGGAGTGGTACTGGCTACAAGTCTAGACAAGATTCATCACCACCGCAGGAGACCCGGTAAAAGCACTTCTGTTGGATCACCAGTTCTTTGCTTATTTTGCTGTTGAAACTTCCTTGACCTATCCAAGGCATGAGTCCAAGGCCGGCGACAAAGGGGTACACATCTGTATGGCTCAATAGCGATGTCACATGGATGCCGATGAAACATGATGAAACCAGGACACCTTGCCGCAGATAGCCCCGAAGCCAGAGGTTCGGAATGGTTCGGAATTTGGGATTTCCAGATTTTCCAGTCGGATCCCCAAGAGCCTTTCGGAGGTCCCGGAGGCTGACGAGGAGCATCAAGGTCATGGCCATGGCTCAATCCTCACTTCGAGCAAGGCTGATGGAGCGATGATTCACGATGTCTCAAAATCAGCACCTGAAGTATCCAGAAGTGGGTGCCCAAAATGATTCAAGGCTTCGATGAGAGATGATGAGAGGATGGCATACAATACATTACAATACTAAACTTACTAAACACGACCAAATTTGTACGGCGCCATTGGGCCTGAAATGGCCACAATTTTGAGCCAAACCCAATTCACGCTGCTTTCTCCGCCTGTCCTTGGTCAAGGCTTCCATAGACCAATATTTGCTGGAACTTGTGGATCCTTTCCACAAAGGCAATTGAGGGGGGGAACTATGACTATGACTCACTAATGCGAACGATTATCATCATGATGAACTACTGTATGTCATACACAGGCAGATGCAGACACAGACAGATGTTGCCAGCTTTCCTCCCAAACAAACATGTTTAGTTTAGCTCTTCAATCCAGGCCTGGTTCGCTTCATCGACTTCGCGTGGCTTCATGTTCGGCTGCCAGCAGCTGAGGTGGTTTGAAGAGTCCTCTCAAGTCACGTTTGGAATCACATGGCCATTGAAACAAGCGGGTTTTGTTTCAACGTGATTTAACCGGGAGGAGGCTCATATTCTTCAATGATGATTTTCATCCGGAAAATGATGACAAAGCATTGGATTTGAGGGTCAAATTTTTGAGATGACCACAATTTGAGATGCCAAGGATGTACTACAATGGGCGGAATGCAAGCATTCAAGAGAGACTTCAGAGTTTGGGTGGAACGTACCCGCAGCAGGTCCGGGAAAGATTATGATGAAGTTTCCATATTCCGTATGAGATGCACGTCCGTGTTGTTGCGCACACATGCAGGAAGAAGTACATATCACCCGGTCAAACCTTGGGGTAAATTGCCCATATTGCTGGATGGTCATCATTCCCTTGATAGGCATTTGTGTACCCGAAGGATTCCATTTTGGGATGGATGACCATGCGACGTACACGACGTACACCATGTTTTGACCATGGCATTAATGTTTTTTTTTTGGACGATTTCCGGGATGAGATGCACCATGATTGCCAGGTCTTCCGGAAATATGATGTTGATCAGGACAACCACCTGGACAAGGCCTTGTTTTTGTTTCTGTGGTTGATTTGGTGCAATCAACGTGACGCGTGTGGACCAAACATGTCGACAGAAGGGAAACAAGATGAAACGAGGGTTTGGCATTCAAAGCAAGTTGAATTCGGCCTTTCACCTGCCAGAGCCTTCACGAATTGAAGAGTCACAGGTTGAATGGCAGGAGTACGCGTCGAGTCAAGGGCCCAAAGGGCCCAACGCAGCTTTCATGGTAGCAAAGGATAGCAAAGGGGCAGAAAAGATTTGAAAAGATGCCGTTCAAGCTGCCGGGATGATGGAAAACGCCACAGAAAAGTAACCGGCACCTGATTCCCAAGGTCTCATCTTGGTGTGGCCCTGAGCAAGACATCATAAGAACCCGCCCTGTGAGAATGAAAAATGCCGAGGTCCTTGGAAAAGCCTACCTGAAGGACGCATGCAAAGGCCATGACTGTACCTAAGAAGGTATTTCACCGTACGTGATGCTATTTTCATGGTATTTTTGCTGGTATTTGGATGGACATTGCGTTTCCAGGACCCCTGGTTTCCCCCATGCTTCCCCTTCACAGGCCTGCTCCGTGAGCAGCAAGAAGCTGAAGCACGGAAGGTTGCAGGGCCTTTGACCTGGAGGCTGGGTGGCAGATCCCCAAGTCCCCGTTGGTTTCAAAGGGATTTCAATGGGATTTTACCACGAAAAATTGTGAATTAGTGAGCCACTTATTGTATTTATAGGTGTTTAATGGAGGTGTCCTAAGTAAGTCATGGCAGTACCTCCAAATCATCCAAGTGATGAACATGACTTAGTATTGACACCTATGATGACTTGAGGATCCCCTAAGAAATCCCCACATGGACCAACGATGTGATGATTTGGGGGTACCCCCATGACGTAAGAAACATCCACATTGATGTTGGATAATAATTTTGATTCAGAGAGATATGTATGCCAATATGAGTATTGGATATAGCGACAATTGATTTTTGAGATGATGATCTGATGATTGATATTGGGATGCACAAAAATATTGGGATGATGACATCATATGACATCTATCCCGTGGTTTTTACGGAGGGGTTCGTTTTTTTTTTCCCGGAGCTATGGGGGTAAAAACATTCCCGACAGCTCAGAAAAGGGGACCGAGTTGGACAGTCGAGTTCCCCAAGCACATGGGTTAGATAGCTGGGATGATGGTTTACCAAAGATATGCCGCATATCTAGGCCATAATGTATTTATTATATATTACATATTATCAAAGGAAGTTGGGAAGCAATCTTCCGAGCTACGTGCAAATAGAATTGTGATACCTTACATCACAAAACAATACATCCACGAAGGGTGGTGTGGGACTTAGATAGAATTGTGATACCTTACGTCACAAAACAATACATCCTATGGAAGTGATGACCTAGGACCTAGGGAAAATGGTGACGAAGGGAAGTGGAGACCTGGGAAGTGGTGACGAAGGGAAGTGGAGACCTAGGAAGTGGTGACGAAGGGAAGTGGTGATGAAGGGAGTGTGGTGACTTTGGGAAGTGGTGACTTTGGGAAGTGGTGATGAAGGGAAGTTGTGACGAAGGGAAGTGGTGAAGAAGGGAAGTGGTGACGAAGGGAAGTGGTGACGAAGGGAAGTGGTGATTAAGGGAAGTGTTGACCTAGGGAAATGGTGACTTTGGGAAGTGGCGACAAAGGGTGACTAAGTAATGGCTGCATGAACGTGTGCGTGGTGTTGCAAAACGTATTGTAATGGCTGCATGAATGTTGCATAGGGCTTGTGTTGGGGAGAAAGCCGGAGCACGAAACCTTGTGTGTTTCCGTGTAAAGTGGCTGCAGACGGCCATGAAAGGTACCTCGTGTGTGTGTGTGTTCAAGTCTGTCGCCATTTACCGCTAATCTGAACTCGTTTTCTCTTTCCAGGACTACTTTCTATCACATAGTTTCCTTGAATGTCAGACCTCGCATTTCAACTTTTTAGTTGTATGCTTGTGTTGTGTTCCTACCGTTGTCGGGACCTCAGGTTTGCCATGAGCATGCTTCTGCTCAAAGTGTCGTGAGTGCTCAGGTACCTTGTAGCATAGTATTGCATGTCACATTCTAGTCTGGTTCTCGTTTGACCATAGCACTTAACCTTCACGCACAAATGGTTTCTTTTCATATCACACCCATGCTGCGAGTCATCAGTCCGGTCTTGGAACGTTTGGTCACTGAATCGAACTCATCACGATCACCGGTCGGGTGCCTAGTATTGAGAAAGTACCATAGTCCAAGATGACACCCGTGAAGATTCTGAAACGGTCGGGGCCCCTGCCATTTCTGATAGTGTTTGTGATGATCCAGGACTGGCGTTCTGCTACCTGAATGACAGGGTGAGTCCGACGATTGAATTGCTCGTTTTTTGTCTATCGTCGCCCTACGGGGTTTGTGTGTGTGAAACCCGTTATCACATACGGATTCCTTTTACATCAATTTTGTCCAGCAATGCAGGGGAGATGATGTAACTGTGTGCTTAGATTTACCACGGTTGAGACCCGTGACCATGGGAACTCAGACAGCAGCAGTGACTGAAGCGTTTCAGGCCTATTCCAAGAAAGGAACCTGGAATACAACATGCAAATATGAGGTAACTGAGTGCTTAGATTTACCACGGTTGAGATCCGTGACTATGGGAACATAGACGGCAGCAGTGACTGAAGCGTTTCAGGCCGATTCGAAGAAAGGAATCTTGAATACAACATGTAAATAAATAAATAAGTACATAGATCAGCCGCAACTTTTGATTCAGAAATGCAGGGGAACAGTTTGCGAACTGGAAAATGGATGAAAATGGCCCAGTCGAAATAGTGGATTTTCCCATGAAAATAGCATGGTGGATCTTTCCAGGTAACAGTTTGCCAGAGGATATATGTAATTGCAACATTCTCATGGCTTTGCTGCATGTTGTTTCCTTACCGGCAGAGGGGACTTG